ATTAAAGGATCAAAAGACGGTCTTGGGGTGGAACGAATTTGCCTAGCCTCACTGTGATGATAAAAGGGATACATACTACTAAGCAAAGATAATAGCATGATGAAAGCGCACATATAGAGGTGGTGCTGACTCACAACCATGAACACCGAGAGTAAAAAAAGGCACTAGTCTTACAAACCTTAGGAGCAACAGATAACAAATAAGTAATAGGGGGGCATAGCCTTAGCTTGCAACTCCCTATCCATCGTCAGCGAAAAATCCGGGGCAGCCAACCTTACATTCCCCAAAAATCAAGCCGAAAAGACTTCATACAGGGATACGTCGCTTCAGAATGATTTCCCCCAACAGTTTGAGCATCCAAAACAGGTGAGCTTGCATTACTATTCTGACTAATAACATCCGCCACACCGTTACGAACAACTGATGAAATAGACACCGTGACTTCCGCAAAACGCCCCACTGGAATCCATCTTTTGTGAATTTTCAAAATTTGAAAATTCGTAACTCCTTTCCTGAACTTTCGGTGGCTTCGCATCTGTTGAAAATTTCGAGAGCTGTCGGAAAGATTTTTTTAGGGGCATTCCAACCAACCCTGAACTTGGAACCTTGGCGCTGAACCACCATCCAACCATCCTCAACAGCAGGTTGAGGGGCCGCCTCAGGCACAGTTAGTTTTTTCCTCACCATCGGAGAGACCCCAATGGCAAAAGAATATTGGCCCACCATCAATCGCACAACTTTGGGGATGGACGCCCCTCTGAGCTTCCAAATACGAACTCTGACAACACTAACATCAATCCCTACAAAGGAGTCTTTGTCAACATCACAAAATTCCCCACAATAATTAGCAATCTTTCGAATAGTATCCAGGGTCCAAGCATGGAAGGGATTACCAAAAAGACTAATCCAAAGGCTTTCCTTCTGCAAATAAGGCAAATGAGCAGACAGTTTCCACAAGTCCAAAGATAGCAACTTGCAGTGAATCCTAACAAACTGATTGCTCAAAAGCAACGATAGCGTCCTCCTTGGCTCGTAGCAAAAAAAGCTATCTTATTGTCTCTAATCAATTTAACAATAGGAGCATAGGATAAACCCCATCCCCTTCTAGCCCAGTCGCACAAACCAAATATGTCGTTAAAAGACGGGGAAAAGGAGCCCATAACAGGAAAACTAGCCCCTGCAAGTAGACCGGATGAAAGATCATATCTTACATGAACAATTGAAGCACCCAAATAATCAACCTCACTATCAACATCGCCATCGTCTCCTCCCACCATCATTTTCTTCCACACTCTCTTTATGAAAACCACTCTCTAGAGCCCAAGAACTACTTTCAATTAGAGGCCTTTTCAATATGGAAAAACCTTTTCCGATGGATTTTTGAAGTGCGTCTTTAATTTTGTATTTTAAAGTTGCAACCATATATAAACTTTTGTCTTTGGGCCAAATAGCCGTTGTAGAACCTATCTTGTCCTTGGGACTTGGTTTATTGGAAACAAGAGAAAGTTATGCACTAGGTTTTCAAGGTAGGTGAACGCTAGACCTATTACCAACCCAAATGTAACTGAATATCAAATTCTCAATAGAAAAAATACACATACCCCCCCCCCCCCTCCTTAAATCACTCTCCCGAGTAAACTCTCATGTCTATGAGGCTCATGAACCCCTCCATATTAAAAGAAAATGACATTTAACCTCCTTTGTTCTCTTTCAATTTCATTGACTAGACTAAATTACACTATTTACCCAATTTTTTCCAAGAACCCTTTCATTAATGAAAAAGTGTTTTGTGAGTCAGCAAACTCACTAGGCCACACAATCACAACCATCCTTTAAGATGAGCATTCACCACTAAAGATTCCTACCCAATGGATGAGAAAATATTGTAATAAAAATATTCTAAAATTTATTATATTTTATTTTATTTTTTACATTCATGATCATCATAGTGTAGATCGTGGATCATTACAAATTTGGGATCCATGATCAAGCACTATAATGGGTGTTCAAGGGAGCCCGCATGAAAATAGTATAGCCAGGGGACTCTTAAGAACCAGGTCCTTTATTAAAAGGAAAATTGTTTCATGCGGGCTGGACCACATTTCTATATATGCGATCCAAAAAAGTGTAAAGCATCCATTTTAAAGATGGATGCAAATAGGTGTTCCATCTAAAAACAATAGAAACTAACGGTCCAAATGTTTTATTACTAGTATTTTTATTTTTATTTTTAAAACTTATTTATTTTTCCATATTCATAATCTCCATGTTTGTTATTACATGTTCTTAAAAATTAATTATTAAAATCCATCTCAAGAAAAGATTTATTAAGAAGCCCGCATTGCCATGCGGGCTTGGCCACATAGAAACATGGTCCTTATTAAAACCCAAGAAAAAATCTCCCTTTCTTATGGGACCCGCGGGATTACCTCGGATTAGTTTGTTTGGGAAAATATCTTCATACCCCGTATTTTTAAGTTTTATTTCACAATAGACTCAAGGTTTTAAAAGATGTTTTGGAGCATAAAAATTGTAGATTTTATTTCTTCTAACCCCTAAACTGATTTAAACATTGTGTTTTAGGCCAAACAAATCTAAAAAACTACATTTTCTAAAAGTCATCCTACCAAATATCTCGCTCTCTCCCAGCACCCCTTCTCTCTCTCTCTCTCTCCATCTTTCTCATATCTTTCCCCTCACTCTCTTTCCTCCCGCTCTCTCTTCACGTTTCCGAAGAGTGAGAGACATAGGAAGAAGGAGAAAGAGAGAAATTTGGGGTATATAAGTGAAAAGAGAGAAAAGATTGGGTTGGATTTCAAGGAAGTGAGAGGTTATCGGAAAGAGAGAAAGGTGTTTGGAGAAACATGGGAGGAAAGAGAGACGTGTTTGGAGAAACATGAGAGGAGCGAAACATGGGAGGAGAGAGAGGTGTTTGGAAAAACATGAGAGGAGAGAAAGAGTGAGAGATGCAGAAAGAGAAAAAAGATTGAAGCTTGGGTATAAAAGTGAAGAGAGATAAATTATTGGGTTTAAAAAGAGCACGTGTTTCTCACATTTGTTTAGGTTAAAATATAGGTTTAAAGTGACAAAGGGCTTAGAAGATATCTTTTGAAACTTTGAGTTTATCAAGAAATGAAACCTAAAAATATGGGATATATAGATATTCTTTCTAGCCTTTCAAAGATGAGAGTTTACTTATTTTTTCATTTCTCAATTTCAAGCCTGCGCAATAAATTAAATATGAGAAAAGTTTATATAGAGCTTATCTCAAAATTTTCATTAGAAGAGGTTGTTTCGATGCTCAAATATATTTAAATTGATCATCTCGACATCAATATGAATGGACATGAGAAAAAATGATATTTAAGTTTGAAAAATAGTGTATTTTATAACGTATTTTTAGACCGTCAATTTTCAAGATTTCAATTTTTATAAATCTACCGATGTACATTAATTTTAAAACTTTAAACTTTACAAATAACTATAAAAATATATTTTAAAGCTATCACCAAAATTGTGGTGAAACCGCATTTCGCGACACTCTTTGAAAGTAACTCTAAGGGCCTAGGTTCTATACGAACCGCACCCAAAAAAATTAAGTTCCCACTCCACGTGTGCAGTTTGGCGCCGATGGAGTACCGTAGTAGGGCGGCTACGCCACGCACTGAAAAATCATATCCCAAATTTCGCCGAAAGCGAGCGGAATTCGGATGAAATTTCGTTTCAAAATTTCGTACGCACTTTGATAGTCTGGGATCTAGGGTTTAGAGAGATAAAAAGGACAGCAGTTTGATCTCCAGTGATGCGGAAGGTGTGGCTCAGCTGGTACCGACCAACCAACATCTGACACGTCGTAACCAAATTCCATCAAGGATGTGACACGTGTAATGTGGCGTCAGTTTAATAGTGACGCTTGCTCCTTTTGTTTAATGGGAGATGCGTGCGACTTCTGCCATCACGCCGTAACACGTGTCGGTGGCTACTTCCACTATCTTCTCTCTCTAGCCTCGATTACTCCATTTATACTTCCATACCCCATCCCATTTCTCTCTCTCTCTCTCTCCTCATTTTCCCTTCCGTTTCTCCCCCCCTCTCTTACTGCAAAGAAACCCCTTCTCTCTCTCCTCTTCTCATTTTCCCTTCAGTTTCTCTGATTCCCTCTCTTACTGCAAAAGCGCATCCTCTCTCTCTTCTCATTTTCCCTTTAGTTTCTCTCTCTTCTCATTTTCCCTCTCGTCCCTGCCTCTGTGCAAAGAAGCCTCATCTCTCTCTCTCTCTTACTGCAAAGAAGCTTCATCTCTTTCTCTCTCTTCTACAAGGTTCTACTTTGATTCCTCCCATTTTTCTCTCTTGTTTTCAGATACTTAATTTGCAAAGCTTTCTCTCTTTAAAACACAGAAAACCGGCGCGGCCGCGATTAACATCTTCCTCTCTCTACAACTCTGCAACTCACCTAACTTTGAATCTCGAAGAATTCTCAATACCTTTCGCGTTTTGGAAGGCTTCAACTCCTTCTCTATCATTTTTCACTACCCCTCTCTCTCTCCCGGCCTGAGGGGGAAGGCTTTCTCTCTGGGCTTGAGAGGAAGGCATCTCTCTCTAGGCTCCAGGGGTGGAGAGGAACTCTCCCTCTCTCTTTAATCTCTTGCTCCTCTTTCTTATCTAGAGGGTCCATCTCTCTAAACACCTCTCCCCCTTGTCTCCAGGACTCTCTTTCTGCTTAGCCCCTCTTTAGGCTCTCCGCCCCATCTCCCCATCTCTCTAGGCCTGTCTCTCTCTGAGTAGCCCTCTCTCTCTCTCAGCTGAAACGCTCCTTCTCTCTCTAGGGCCAGGGCCTTGCCTATATGAAAGCGAAGCAATCCTCAGCCAACCGTAACACCACTCGAGGAGTGGCCCAAAGGCCCACTCGCAAATCTTTATTAACGCATGGTCGCACCACCAGAAGGGCTCCAGCCCGCCCTCATCCACCACAATCGCCAAGACCCAAATCCATCGTCCCAATGGACGGCGGCTTTGAATCTGACCCACTTGCCGAAACCACCCATTTTCCAGCCATCCCCACTGCCGGAATTTCCCTTTTTCCGGCCACGGCCACCTCCGACGAGGACTGTGCTCATCCCTTGAGGACAGATTCCAGCAGTTCCATGTTTGGCTCTGATGACAGCCGGAGCACCACCACATCTGGCCGCACCACTGGTAGCTCCGGCTCCTGCACGGCGGACAGCGTCCCGTCAGAGACTGAGGCAGCCGCCGCCGTGGCCTCCCTCTCCGTTGAGGATCTTATGGTGGCGGAGTTCGACGCCGTTAGTAAGAGAGATGACGTCGTCAGTTATAGGTGTGAAATCGTTGGTGACAGATGTGACGTCGTCAATGATAGTCCTGACGCCGTTAGTGGAAGAGGTGACGTCGTCAGCGAACCAGTCAGTGATCGATGTTACGTCGTTGAGGGGAGAGAGGAGAGGGTTAGGGAGAGATGTTTGGGAAAGGGGAGGGCGCTGGCCTGGGGGTCGACTTCTGTGATAGGGGGGAGAATGGAGATGGAGGATGCGTTTGCTGTGTTGACTGGTTTTCTCAGGGTGGCTTGTGAGGTGGTGGGCGGGTGCGCGGCGATGGGGTCGAGGGACTCCTGTGAGCCAGCACCGCTTGGGTTCTTTGGGGTCTACGACGGCCATGGCGGACCGCAGGTTGCCAACTTTTGTAGTGAGAGAATGCACTCCGCCCTAGCGGAGGAGTGGGAAACGAGGAGCGGCCCCGCCTCTCCATCAACCGAAGGCTGGCAAAAATGGTGGGAGGGGGCTCTGTCGCGATCATTTCTAAGGGTGGACGGCGAGATCACCGGCGCTGGAGACGAGGTGGCGGCCCTATCCGCCGCCGCTGGGGCCGCGGAGCCAATAGCACCGGAGATAGTGGGGTCCACTGCGGTGGTGGTAGTGGTTTCAGGGTGTCAGATCATCGCGTCCAATTGTGGCGACTCTCGTGCCGTTCTCTGCCGCGGAAATCAGGCCATCCCCCTCACCCTTGATCACAAGGTTCCGCTCCTCTCCTCTCCTCTCCTCCGATCACAACAAAATAATAATATTAATTAATAAAAGACGAAACTCTTTTTCTTTATTTGCTTTTTTATCTCCAGAAAGTAATAAAAAAGAGGAAACTCTACTTCTTTATTTTGCTTTTAAGCCCTTTTTCGCTGGTACTGTTTTCATCTTTTGGCCGAAACCAAGAGCCATCGGTCCACAAAAAAAGGACCAACTCAAAACAAAAAAAAAAAAACCAGTTTATTTTTATTTTGTATTTCGCATTTCACAGACTCTCTATTACCTTTCTATTTATTCGTATTTTATTTGGATAGGGGTTTAAAACGTAGTTGGTTTTGTCCTCAGATTAATAAAAAAAATTGTCTTTTAATGTATTTTTTTGAAAGAAATTTGTTCTTTTAAGCTTTTTTTTTAGGAAAATTTATCAAAATATACCTGAACCATTTGACAAGCTTAAGTGTATTTTTATAAATTTTTAAACTCCTTTTTAATGTGAAATTTTATCAAAAAAATTACGCGCTATTAAAATTAAATCAAGCATGTATTTGAAATTAAAAAAAAAAAAAAAGAAGATCGAGTTTCGTATAATTTAATAGATTTCTCTTTAAAAAAAGAAAAGTCACAAGGGCATGGTATCAAGTAATTGTTGCCGGGGAATTTTCAAAATTGCAGACGAATTATTGCAATTTTCTGCGTAGTGTTTGCATGAATAATTGAAATTTAATATGAGAAAATTTTATATGTTTGTAATTTATTTGTTTGTGTGTATTGAAATTGCGGACAAATTTTTTCAATTTTCTGCGTAATGTTTGCATGAATAATTGAAATTTAATATGAGAATTTTTTATGTTTGTAATTTATGTTTTTGTGGATATTGAAATTATGGGCAGCCTGATCGAGAGGACGAGCTAGAGAGGATCGAAGCGGCCGGTGGGAAAGTAATAAACTGGAACGGCTCACGTGTTTTCGGAGTCCTCGCCATGTCGAGAGCCATAGGTCCACCGATTCACGCCCTTTTATTTTATTTTATTTTATCCTAAAATAAGTAAATAATCAATTTTTTTCTTTACTTTAATTAATGAGAAAAATCAAAGAAGGTGCCAACCTTTATTTTCCATTTCCTCCCTTTCTCCAATCTTTATTTGTTACGAATGTGCAATTATTATTGGGGTGCAGTTGGCATACGCATCCGTAGCTGTAGAGGTAAGGTGGGCCTTCAAATTTTATCATGGAATACAATTTTGATGTAAAATGTTTATAGGATTATTTTAAAATCTATTTTTTATATTTAATTATAAAATTTTAAATTTAAAAAATAATTAAAATCAAGTAGATTTATAAATATATGAAAATCTTAAAGTCTTAAAAATGGATACTGTAGATAATATGTTGTAAAATGTGTAGATAATATGTTGTAAAATGTAGATAATATGTTGTAAAATGTGTAGATAATATGTTGTAAAATGAACTATTTTTTAGACTTAATTTTTTTTTATTTTTCATGATCATACCTCTCGATGTCGGGATGATTGGGTTTTTCACCATTAAAACTACTTTTTCATACGGATTTTTGAGGTGCATCCGTAGCTCTACATTATAAGCCGTATAAAAGCTTTTTTCTTATTTTAATTTGATCTCCCAAATTTGGTCCAGCGGTACTACTAAAATATTTTTGCTTTGGCTGCTGTACAAAGTGTGGTGGTACAGCGGCGCCACCCATTGAATTGCCCAAAAAAAAAAAATTATAAGTTTTTTCGATTTTAAATCTTGCGCAGGCGACAGGTATCTAAGGCCGTCGATAATCCCGGACCCGGAGGTAAGCTTCACGCCGCGAACCGACGAGGACGAGTGTTTGGTTGTCGCCAGCGACGGCCTGTGGGACGTGGTCTCGAACGAGGAGGCTTGCCGGGAGGCTCGCCGCGTGCTGTCTCGGCCCAGCCGGGTGTTGCGTGATGAATCCGCGCCAACGCCATCGCCATCACCTGCTCAGGCTGCGGCCGAGCACTTGGCCAACCTTGCCATGCACCGCCACAGCTCCGACAATATCACCATTATCGTCGTCGACCTCAAACATAGAAGAAGGCGCCTGCCACAGAGATAAATAGTAGATTTTCTCTCTTCTTTCTTCATTCTCTTCCTACCGGAATTTGCTGTATAGAGTCTGATGACGGGATTTTATCCCTCTCTCTAGCGAGCTGTTAAAAGAGAGATTCCTGTCATGGAACTTTCTCACTCTACCTGCTTGAAATGACATTCACTACAGCGACTGTCAATTTCTCTTTCTCTGCTGTTTACATCGATTCTCTTTCTGCAAATGCAAGAACTTTGCACGAGAAGATATTCATTAGAGGGACTCTCTACAGCGGGAATTGAGGTTTCAGACTGTAAGATCGGGTCTCATTATCCTTGGAGATCATTTCTTACTATCGCTGGATTTAGTCCAGAGTTTTGGAAGTCGGAGGATCTGTGTGGTTTTACGCCGTTCTCTTGAGTTTTTGTGGTATATATATATGTGAAATTGTAAGGCTTTTTATACGGTTTTTGGAGGTGGATCTTCTTCACTTTGAGAAGGAAGCTTTGTTTGCACAAGATCTCCTTTGGTTTCAGGAGATCGAAGACTGTAATTCTTCACAAAATGGAAAGCCATCGCAATGAAAATATTTAAGAACAGGTATTTTCACATTTCGTCGTTCACTCGCTGTCTCAAATTCTTAATTCCTTATAGCTTTTCTTCTTGTTTTCTTCTTGAAGCTCGACTCCATAACCTCTTTTTGTACACCGGAATCCTTTTTTCCGGCCGGGAATCGTTCGGAAAACCGCACAGAGGTCTCGTTTTCGCCGGTAAATGACTGCTGTGATCCGCTATTGGCGGAAAAGATTAGGGTTTGTAATTTTGCGGCTTTGTGTCTTGGATGTGCCGAGTTGGCTTTGTCAGCATTCCGACACGTGTACGGTGCAGATCTGTACAGAACGTACAGACACGTGTCCATAGCAAGACTGTCCTGTCGGCTTATTTTTATGCCCTGTCGCTCCATGCGGGGCCCGCGTCTTAAATTCATGTGATTGCGTTTTCGCCCTTACTCTGGAATTGACTCCAGTAATGAATAATATTAATTGCCTTGGACACGTGGGGATATTCGATTCGATATCCTTGAGCTGCGATCTCAACCGTCCACGTATGAACATTGGAGTCATCGGGGTCGACACGTTCCCAAACTTTTGCTTTAAGTTGGACGGGGGAATCTACCAAGAAAGAAGCAGAAAGGGTAGTGGAGAGCGTGGGGCCACGTGGCTTCCTTAAAATAAATTGAAAACAGAAGTGGGCCCATCTCGATGGAAGGATACATAATTTTTTGTTCCTATTTTACCCTTGATCTTCTGTTCTTATTTTGCCTGATATCCCACCTCTTAATTTCCAACTTTTATTTGTATAAGATGAATTTTCCAGTGCCTTCATTATGGATTCATTGAGACACGTGATTAAAAAAAAAAAGGATCGGTGACCCGATTGAGCACCTCAAGAATCTTATTATTTTATTATTTGAACAAAAAGAAGTAAACTTGTGAAAAATCACGTGAAAAATCATTGATTCGGCCAAACAACAGTCAAAATCGGTGAATCAGTAGTTTAGATTGTTGTATTACAAAGAAATGTTCTTTTACTGGATGGAACTGTTGGTTTTTTTATAGACCCGATTGTTTTTCTATATACAAAATTGAAACAGAATAATTGATTTTCAGATCGGATCAAGTGATTTTGTATTGACCAGGTTTCTTTTAAATCATCGATCCAAAAAATCATTGTGGCCCACTTTGCCCAATACATAAAAGGAGAAAAAAAAGAGGAATGTTTCAATACGTCTCGATGGGGTGGATAGTCTTACCGTCTCAAACTTCCAATCATTCATATTAGTTTGAATATGTAATTTTGATAAATAAAAAGTAAAAAAACAGTTGGGATTTATTTTTATTAAGGAATTCAAATAAATATTAGATAAATTTAAAATAAAAAAAAAAAAATTACTTAAGAAAGCTAGAGTTGGTAATGGACTCTTTTGGAATTGGTTTTGGTCGGGTGATTCCCAATCTAAATAGATAGGTTTTAGCAGTGTGTTTGAGAGGTCACTTAGATGGTTTGTGTTATCAATAAGATTGAGCGTTTAGCCACCTCGTTATTTTTTCTCCATTTTGTGGTGGCGTTATTTTCCATGTTAGTTTCTCGCTACGAAGTTTAGGTGCCATTTCCGAATTCTCCCTTGAAAGGGCTCTTTGAGCCCGGCTAGAAACAATGTAGGGTATGCTTAGGCTTAGGCTTAGGCTTAGGCTTAGGGCTGGCAGTGGACCGTATTCGACTCGGGACTTTGCAGATATACAGGTCTAGGTGTGGGTTTAAGTTTTGGAACCACATATATAATCCGGGTTTAACATATCATACCCTAATTATCTCGGGTTCAAGTACGAGCCCAGCAAGATGCTACCCATAACTGATTTGTATTTATAAATTAAAAATAATTAATAATTAATTATAATAATACATCCATCACCATCCATTTAACTCATCGATTTGAACCTTTTTTTTTTTTACCTAAATCCCACCTTTAAATCGTTTCATCATCCCCAAACCCCACCGTCAAGCCAAACCCTAGCCAAACCTCTCTGCTTCCTAGAGAGAGAAGAGAAACGCTCACGTCACAGGCCCCTTCTTCATAGTAAAGAGCCCCGTCTTCTCAATCCCCGTCGCCAAACCCTAGCCTCCTCTACAACTCAGGCATCTGGATCTGCGTCTTCGAGGATTTGATTCCAGGTGGGGTGCCGTGCCGGAAAATCAGCTACGGGGCTTTGGTTTAGAGAGAGTGGTTCCGAGCTCAGATAAAGGTTCAGAAAACTTTGTTGCAGGGTCGAAAGATGTAACTGGTTTTCTTGGACATGAGGCTGATGTTGTGTTCCGAGAGATGTGGGTCCTCTGATTTGCAGGTGCGAGATGAAAATGCGTATGAGCTTTAGAGAGGACCCTCTATGGGTTTGGGGGTTAGGTTTTCTCCTTGGGTTTTGAAAATGAGAGGGCTTGTGGCTGTCTCTTTCATGGTATCTGTCTTTCTCTCTCTCCATTTCTCTGCTTCTAATTCTCTCTTTCTCACTGTCTCTACATGTCTTTGTCTCTCTCAATCAATCTCAGAGTGAAGGTGAATGGTGTTTTGTTTGTAGAGATTTACTATGGAACTTGAATTAGGAAATGGACTCTCTTCCATTCTTTCTTGAGTGGAATTTGTGGCATTGTTATCGTAGAAATGCTTTTGATATGAAAATTGGAAATTTCTCTCTCAAAAAAAAGAGGGAGACAGATACTCTGTCACAGAGAAGGATTTCATGAGCACTGAGGAGCTGAGAGAGAGAAGAGGAGCTTAGAGAGAGAGGGGAAGAGAGCATTCCTGGTATGGGTCGGGCCCCGGGTCCAAACCTACATTCTAGGTTCGGGTACGGGGGTGGGGTACTCTTGAACCATCAGGTCAGATTCGGAGTATGGGCCCAACCCGTACTATTTGCGTCCAGGTACGAGTCCAGCTGAACTCGACCCATACCGGACCAGTTGCCAACCCTACTTAGGCTAATGCGTAGTCTAAAATTTTGGTTCGGATCGTGGTACGCCTTAATTTATGGCATGTTCGGATCAAAATAAGAAATTGATCTGAATCACAAGTCTTGTATAAATCTTAAGGGAAGCTTTTCAATGTTCCCCTTTATCTCCTTTTTTATTCAACCAACCCTCCATTTTTTTTAAAGACGGATTAAGATTGCCCTAATCATAATGTCACGTCTCTACATTATTTTATTTTTAAATTATTTTTTATAAATTATTTTGACATTAAATTTTGGACGTCTATTTTTCTATTAAAATTGTATTAACGAAAATAATAAAAAAAATATTTTTAATAAAATAAAATGATTGAAATACCTTAAAAAGTTTATATATTTTAGTTATTACTTTTTATCAAAAAATTATTGTTAATATTTTTTTATAGGTGCGGCTCAATGAAAATATGATACGGATCAAATTTTATATTAAAAAAATTGTTTAAAAAAAATTAAAAATAAAATACTTTGAGACGTAGATCTAAAGTCAAACGGTAGATGGCTCTCTCCATGAAAAAATGGACGGCTGGATGGTAGAGGGGGATAGAACCATTATAATTGTTGAAAAAATGAAGATTTTAAAGAATTACTGTATATTGTAACGCAATATCTAAAAAATTCATTTCGCTCAAAATAAGTGTTCAACAATATGCAAGATTTATACTCTTTTTTTAACTTCAAATTAATTTTAGAACATCATGGACGCTTCCAATGTCCAAAGTTTAGAACATCATGGAGGCTTCCAATGTCCAAAGTGTTTTCCGGATAAATATTCAAGGTGAGGATTGACCTTATTGTCATACACTGTTTTCCGGATAAAGATTCAAGGTGACGAATAACGTTATTGTCATACACTCAGGCCTTACATAAACTGCATCCATGCTTTAAAGGGTGCAGTTTGTATAGAGCTGAGGCTCTAAACAATTAAAGTAAAGCGTATTTTCAAATAATGTCAAGAAATGTAGTTTTAATATTGAAAATCTTTATTGATAGCTTTAAAATATATTTAGTTATACAATTTAAAGCTTAAAAAATAAAGTAGATTGAGTAAATTTATGAAAACTTGAAAATCTTGAAAATTGACGGTCAAAAAATACTTTACAAGATGTATAATTTCCAAAACTTGAAGTTCATTTTTTTCTCATGTCTATGCATCTTGATGTCGAGATAATCAATTTGAAGATATTTGGGCATCAAAACAACCTCTTCTAATGAAATTTTTGAGGCGGGCCTTAATTTGATTGTTTAGAGCTTCCTATATAAACTTTTGGAAAAATCTAAAAAACACTTAAAAGGCAAAGTGCTACAGTATTTTGCCACCTCCACGGACTTGCTATGTTCGCGACGGTTTATAGAACATGTCGTCTGTTGTGGTTTTGCGTGATTTTTTGACCGTCACGGATTTAATATATTCGTGATGGTACCGCCACGGACATGCTGGGTCTGTGGCGGTGGAAAAACGCACGCCGCTCGATTTTTTCGGATGGTGATGAGTCTATGGGCGAAAACACTGTTCGTTTTCGCCCATAGGTGTTGCGTAGTGTCTTCTTAAACTTTTTCCTACTTTAAAAGACATATATTATGGGATTGTCTACAAATAAATTATTAATCTTTTGTACATGAAAGTCATAATTATTTACGCTAACTAGATGTTAAATTGGATGGCTTGGGATGAGTAACGAAATCCGAGAAATTTTTTTTTGGAACTGTGTGTCTATTCAGTGACACTTTTACAATAATCCATTTTAAATTTTAAGAGACAATAATGATTGTGACATCCATATACAAATCCAGTTACAAAAGATAAATGATCTATTTGTAGACAATTCCATATATTATATAAGAATTTCTATACAGAGACTATTTATCTTTTGTACATGGAGGTCACAATCATTCCCACTCACTATTGTCAATTGCAAGGCTTGGAGTGAGTTACGAAGTCTGAGATTTATGTTTTTTGGAACTTTGTGTCTATTCCATGATATTTTTACAACTACCAATTTTGAAATTTAAGATATGAGAATGATTTTGACCTCCATATATAAAAGAAAAATGATCTCTTT